TTCTTCTTATGGTGCCTCTCCTTTATGCTGTCCAAATCCGAAGAAACCCTCAGGAATTTCTCCACATGGGTCCTGAATTGAGGCGGTGCTGGGATCCTATGCCTCAGGCTGATGTCAGGTCTAGGCCGTCCTAATCAAAACCTGCACAAGTTCTCTTGAGAAGTCCACATGCAGGGCTTTGGGAGCTGTTCTGTGCATGTGTCCAGGATCTTAACAGGTCACACCTACTTCTCCAGCCAGCTTTGCCATACCCTCATCTCCTTTCTCAAATTGTCTTCCTATTTATTTTAAGATGACTAGTGTTTCCTCAGGTGCTTTAATCACAGAAGAAATTTTAAAAAGATAAGTTCTTAATTTAAACCAGGTCCCAGCCTATGGCAGGAAGATCTTTAAAGAACATTTCCTTTCCTGAAATCTCTGGACTATGGGCTATGTCAGCCAGGAACGCTGTGTGCCTTGCTTTGGAGTCAGATGGCCAGGTACCAGGAGGAATGTGCATAGTGTTTAACCTTAAAATGTCGCTGTGCTCTGTGGGATCACTTTGGGCCTGAGACCAATCACATAATTTTAAATGTATTATACATTGAAATCTTCTTTTATTTAATTCACAACACATGCTGTTTTGGACCATTTTTCGCTCAAACCCACTAATACCTAACTACCTGCCTAACAGGGTCTTGATAACACCAGTAGCTCCTCATCACTTTCAGGCAGTTTCCATTGTCTCATATGTATTTATTTAATTTCTTTTCTATGTGGTACTGGGGATTAAACCCAGGGCCTTCACAATGAGCTCCTTCCTCAGCACTTTTTAAAATTTTAGTTCTATCTTTCTATCATCTATCTATCTATCTATCTATCTATCTATCTATCTATGATCTACCTAACTTATCTAACATTGACCGTCTTACTTATTTGTTGTGGTGCTAGGAATTGGGCTATATCTCCAGATCTTTAAAAAAATATTTTTTGAATCAGGGTGTTGCTAAGTCACTAAGTTCCCAGGATGGGCCGTAAATTTCAGTCCTTTGCCATAGCTTCCCAGAGTGCTGCAATTATAAGTACATGTCACCATTCCTAGCTTGGGGATAGTTTTTATTCCTATCATGGCACGTTTACCTGCCACACTCACTGTTTCTAAAATTTGAGATAAGCTAGTCAGGAGAAATAGCTGCAAGAGAAAACAGACTGGAAGGGCAAATGGAATTGATCAGGGCAACAACTGGGTCCTCCTTCAGTATCAGCAAAGAATTGCAATTTGGGGTGTGCAGCCTACAAAAATTCTAGAAAACACACAGGGGAAATCAGTACAAAGTACGTTTTTTGTTTGTTTTTCCAGTCCTGAGGGATTGAACCCAGAGCCTTCACAACAAGCTGTATCTCCAGCCCTCCTCCCTTTTTAAAACTTTGAGACAGGCTCTCTCTAAATTGTCCAGGCTGGTACTGAACTTTCAATCCTCCTGCCTCATCCACCTCCCAAAGTGCTAGGATTTCAGTTGTGTGCCACCATGCCTGGCTGAAGAGGGCTTTAAAGTATAAAGCAAAGAAATCCTAGTGAGTAGTTTCAAAACAAGGCTCACTAGCTTCAAGAGCTCACTGCACAAGTTGGCATGAGTTCACTGGTGGAGACAGCCACTGCAAGGCAACTGCCCTGCTTTATCTGAAATACTGCACAGGAAATTACTGAGATAAGCTTGTCTAGAGTTAGTGAGCAGGACATGCGGAAATGCACATGTGAGGGTATCTGTATGGACACCTCTGTTTCCGTTTGGTTAGAGTTTTGACATAAATGAGTCTATTTGGTGTTGTTAACTTCCACTGCCCAAGTGGAAATGATGCAGGGAAAAAGGCACAGAGTGTGGGGAGCCCTGCTGGGGTGTGTCCTCCTCCCAGCACCTTCCTATATCCCGCAACCTGGAAGCCCATTGAGCCTCATTTCCAAGAGATGTATAGAGCTTGATCTCCAGTCCCCACCACCCCGGGCTTCCCAGAGGAAAGTGTCGCTGAAAGTTCCCACTCTAAAAATTTGGTCTTTTTGATAATTTAAGACTATTAAGGATACCACATAAGTTTCCTCATTAGCATAAGCTCAGGAATGATCCAAAGGTGCTTGTATAAATAGCAAAGATGCTCCTATGCTCAGGAAATTCAAGGGTCCTCCATCACATGAATAAAGAACAAAAACTAAATATATTTTATACTAGAGCATAGTCACCAACTACTGAACTGTGCCAAGGAGAGAATTCTCTTCCCATCCTTCCCCTTCACACCAAATATACATATACAGACATGTTATCCCGAGGGAAAAACTTTCTTACATGCAAATTTAGGTTCCCTAGTCAGGGGCCTGTGAATCAACAGTAGGCACATTAAGAGGAGAAACTAGTTCTATTCTTGTGGAAAGATTAGGATGAGAAGGCTCACTGAACAGCTAGAGATGGGAATTCTACAGCAACAGTAGGGCAAAGAGAGGAGAGGGAGAGAGCTTGTATGAGAAAACAAATGAACATTTGACAAAGATAAATATGTCCAAGAGGTATAGCATGTGAGAGTGAAAGGGGAAAAACTGTGAAAGAGGAATTGCTTTAAAACTTTGCTTTTTTGAAACTGCCTAGCTCTGTAACTGCTTCATGGCTTTATACTAACTGCCTCAACCCCTGTAACCATGAGAGCATAAGCAAACATGCAGGATTCCTGACTATACCATTGTACCAAGCTGCATGAACTGATGATCATTAATCCACCCTTGTTACCGATGGTCTCACCCTGCTAGCTAATCAGAAGAACTTCCAGGCTGTTCAGTCTCACCTTTGTACCTCCTGTTTGTGCATCATATACAAGCCCTAGACCACCAGAGATCAGGGCCTGAGACTCTGGGAATGATCCTGATCAGTGCCCGTTGATGTAAATAAATCTGCCTAAAACTCCTGGGTGTCATTTTGGTGTTTCTGCTTGCTGCTGCAAGAGGCCAGTGCCACAAAAGAATTTCCCAATAATCAAGAATACAGAAAAGTTCACTGAGTTTATTGATCCACTGCAAGACAGCAGCGAGTGAGTGCGAGAGGACTGTGCTGTTGGGGATAACAGCTGGGATTTTTATTTTATCTTAATGTGAGGGGAGGAGTAAGAACACCATCTCCAGAGTGATTTCTTCAGGTCCTGCTGGTTCCAAGTCCACCCATCTCAGCCTAAGGGGGGCCAAATTTATATGAAGACTGAGTACAGTAATGTTCTCTTCAATAGGGTTCGGTGCTCCTGACATTGTTAAAAAACAAAATAAAACAAACCGTCCTTCAGAATCAGACTAATTGGAAGCGGGAATAGGCTAATTAGAGGTAGTGACCAAGGGGTCAGAATAATATATCTAGATTTGTAATGTATGGACAGTAGTACTTAAAAGAGGCTCTTGGTGTTCTATTGGAAGGGGGAGGAAGTGGCATTCCTTTAGACATAACAAGTGGTTAGGTGCTTCAGTGATGTATGCATAGTTCTTGCAGCTTAGAGGCCAAGGTAATGTTCTATAAGACCTCATTCGGTTACAATGTGACCTTAAAAAAACAAAGGCAAAATAACCATGATTCCCACAAAACAGAAGGTTGAGATAGGATAGGGACCCTCATGGGGACACAAAACAGGGATTCTCAGGCCTTAATGCATGATCTATTTCCACTAAAGGAAAGAAGTACTTTGTTCCTGTCCTCCCTTGTAAACACTGTAATAGAACGTGCCTCAGCCGGGCGTGGTGGCGCATGCCTGTAATCCCAGCACTCGGGAGGCTGAGGCAGGAGGATCGTTCCGAGTTCGAGACCAGCCTGGGCTACAAAGTGAGCTCAAGGCCAGCTTGAGCTGCATATCGAGACCTTGTCTCAAAAAGACCAAAAAA